GAATAATTAAATTTAAGTTTTGTTGTGGACGTGATCTCCGTAATCCACATTTTTTGTAGGCTCAGGAAAATCCATGGCGGGGGTGCGGGCACATCCATTACCACAAACGAGGTGGGAATTCCCATAAGTCACACGTGGCAGCATTTAAATGGGCCAACAAAGATAAGAAAGGAATAACTAGATTGCTGCTGATCCTTAACAGCTTTTTCACTTCCAAGATTCTTGCAATAAGAACATCAATGCAAGTACCAGGAAAGTGCATCCTTAACTGCTCTCTGCAGCGCTTCTTATCAGTTCCAAGTTTCTCGGGCTTCTCGGCAAAGTTTGTCCTTCTTGGCAGTGCATTAACTGCCATCCTTTTATGGTACTCCTCCATTCCTTTATCCTCCTTTTTTCTGGTTTGGCTATCTTGCTTCTGTGATCATTTTCTTTCTCTCTAAACTATGAAGTTTTTTAATAAACGATTGCTATTCACTTCAATAAACTGGGAAATAAGCGAGAAAAAGGAGGAAAATTCGTTCTCCTTTCTCTTCTTTGAATTGATTAATGTTGCACTGTGAAGTTCTTGTTCAAAACAAGAGATTTTGTGTTTTTGGTGAATACCATAACGCCAGTTCACACACTTCCTCAATTTTAGTTCAGGCTTGGCATATCCAAACCTGTACTAGTCATGAATTGGTGTGTTTGGGTTCTTCCAAATGAAGTTGGCTTCCTTAAACTGAGCAGGTGCTGGGGTAGATTGTAGCACAGAGGGACTTCCACGAGCACATTTTTTGGCATCAAACTTGAATTTATTGCTTTAGACATCGGACTTTGTCATTTCAGTGGTTACTGTGCAAACAAAGCACTATAGTGTGTGTTGAACGCTAGTTGTGGCTTAAAAACATCATTTATAAGCATACGAGATAGCTTCTTAATTAACTGGAAGATGTTTTCAAGAAAGCAGTTTTTTGTCAATTTTCACTTGGGAATAGCAATATTTTCCATAACAAAAACTCCCTCAAAATATTTATAATCTGAGTGATTATGTTGTTTGAAATTTCTTCTCTCAAAGCAGTGAAATAAAATCTTTACCGAGCAATAGGTCTGTCGGATGGGATTCTTGTTCCTTTGGATTGACTAGCTGATTTGAAGAGTAGCATTTCTGCTGTATTTATGTATTTTTTAAAAACTGAAAATGATATTGATTTTAGCTGTTTAGAACAGATTTCTAAGGACAATCGTAATTCGACAGACAAAGCTTTTATTCTTCTCTCTTCCAGAGTTCTAGTTGCTGATATCATTTTGTTCGGTTGATTTTGCAGGTTTATATGGCTGTAGTTCCAATATGCTACAAAATCCCCTGTAAAGATCATACTCTCTCAACTCGAAATTCAGCAAGGCAACACGAGAGAGGTCTTCTTTGTGCCTGTTCTGCTTTTGCACAGGGGGGCAGTTACCTCTCAATTTCAAGTGATGCACAGAGGAAGTGGCCAGTAATATATACAACTGCTGATGTTTTGGTGAAAGTTAAGACTAGAGGTAGGACGAGTGCCTCCAAAGGAACGATTCTTAACCAGGGTCTCTTGAAATTTCAGAGTGTGATGGACGTACCCCACCTGCATAAAATCCTCAGAACAAGCAGAGAAAATCTCTCTGTGGTGTGCCATGCATCAAAGCCTGGTGCAAATGAGAAGCAACTGAGATTATTAGATTCTTACTTTGGAAAACTCCAAGATAATGTAAGTGAGCCCTCTTCAGATTCTAGTAACGAGAGGACAGATTTATTGGATACAAGTGTGCAGATCAATGTGAAGGAGGAGCTGGAATTTCTAAATGCTTATCTTGACAAGCTTGATAAAGGTAACTTATCATGTCCCCAATATTTATATTAGTATATCTTGATTGCTAGAGGGACTCTTGGACTAGGACATTTGAGTGCACATATATGCAAGTAATTTTAGGATTATAGCATCAATATCACAAACTACAAAATCCAGCTACTCGAAAACCATGAATCTCCTTTTACATGAGAGCAATGGCTGTGCAGCTGCAGCCCTTACAGTATTCTATGGTAAGTACAGAAGAACGCTAAAAGAGGATCTCACCTGTAGTCCAGTCCAGTCACAACAAATTGCTTTGGGGAGAAGATTTTAAGAAATTAGATTAGAAAAGAATAATGGATTTAGCAGTTCAGGTTCACAACAAATATCGATTTGACAATGCATTAAATGCAAAAAAATTACCAATAAGCAGCCTACTGAAACATGTAAACTTTCCAGTCCCTTATTTTTCACCCCAGAATTAGTTGAAGGAGTTTTTAATCATTCCAAGCTCAAATAGTTTTTTTTTGTTGTTCCTGCTCCTTCACTTCAGTTTTCGGGCAGCTCAGTAATTTTCAAGTTAATGCTCTCCCCTCCACTGTGTGCATTTTTCCAACACATCTTAATTAACTACATTCTGCACCATTGAGGAGCAACAGCAGAGGCCAACTACCTTTGTTGTCGATTTACTTTTCTAAGAAACAGATTTAGCTAGTGTGATATACACTATTTTTTATGCTGTCTGTATTCAGGCTATACTTGCAGATTTATGTCGTGGATAACATTTCATATCATTCATATTAAAACTTATCAGCACTATTTAGTTCTTTTAGCTCTGGGTGATTTTATCACCTTTTCCTCAATTATGCTTTCCTGCTGAAAAAAATTGATTTTATTTTTATGCGTGCCTTCAGATGCAAACTTAGAGAATAATGTATCATCAACTTTCAATGATGAAGCTACAGAGGAAAATCCAATAGTAAAACCAATATCAGTCAGTAAAGAATCTAGAAGAGATAATGAAGAGAGACTGAGAAGTTTCAGGAAACTGAGAAATCAGTATGTTGAAAGTGGTTCGAGGAGGTCTGAAGCTTTAGAGCAAAATTATGAAACCTCTTATTTCTACTTAATGTAAGTCATATCCTGTCTTGATGAAGTCCTAGTTCCATCGCAGGATGTCATGTTGTCTTCTTTTCTTCTAAAAGAGTTTCATAGTTGCTATTTCATGGCATTCTAGATAATATTGTTGCCTGTACATATTTGAATGCAGAGGTACATTGGCTTCCATAAATATTGCTGTTTTTCTGTTCGAAATTGCTAGTCCAGTGAGGAATTCCGAATTTGCGCTCTTTTCACTCCCACTGTTATATGGCGCAAAGATAAATGATTTGATCCTAGTTGGAGAGTGGTGGAGGCTTGTGACACCAATGTTTCTGGTACAAGATTGACAAATGGGTTCGTGTTCCCATTCTATTACTGTTTTACATCTATCTTGATCAACAAGGCAAATGTTGGAACTTGAAAGTAGCAACAATCATCATGTTCATTACAATAGGCAATTTTATCCATAGCAACTTGGATCCATTTCAAGTCTGCGTTTGTAATTTTAAAACTTTATTATCCATACCTGAGATAAATTGCTGTCGTAAATGTTGTAACTAATGAAGAAAACTCATAATACATAGCATGTAGGAACAGTTTATCAGTTCGAGTTTTTTTCAAGACTTATGCATTGTTACTTTGACATTGCAAAATGTAGTCTCTAATACTTAATGGTATGTGCAGCACTCTGGAGCTTTTCATGTGGTTCTTGGATCTTGGTCACTGCTTAGCTTTGGACCTGAAGTTTGTCGAGGTTATGGTGCCTTTACATTTTTCTTGATATACGTGCTTGGAGGAATTTCAGGAAACTTGACAAGCTTTCTCCACACACCAGAGCCAACAGTTGGTGGCACAGTAAGCATCATTTCACCTCCTCTTTTTTGCTTCCCTTATTTCCTTATTTCTTTACGTAATTGTCAGTAAGTATTTTGTTTTCCAGGCCCAGATGTTTCAAAGATATGCCAGTAATATGTTGGCTATTTAAACTTTGATATTAATGCAGGGACCAGTATTTGCCATTATTGGAGCTTGGCTCATTTATCAGAATCAAAATAAAGATGTAATATCGAAGGATGATTTTGATCGTATGTTCCAGAAGGCAGTAATCACTAGTGCTGTTAGCTTCATCTTGAGCCATTTTGGTCCAATCGATGACTGGTAAGATAACTGCTAATAATTCATAAAAGATACTCTCTTGACCACCTAATAATATATATACAAGATTATTGGAACTTTGAGAAGGATTGAATAGAAACATTATGGGAAGAACAGTAAGCATAAAATGGTTTTGCTGTACTCTGCTAAATGGATAGTTAAGCCTTTTTACCCGCTACATTCTGTAGGACACATTTGGGAGCAGTTTTGACAGGCATAGTTTATGGTTTTTTCACATGTGCAACTCTACAATTGGATGATGCGTCTTCAAGAAGTGGTCAAGATGAAGGCCTTGCGCTTGTTAAAAGACATGCAGATCCTTGTAAATCACTCGTTATATTCACCATCTTCATTCTCTTCTTAAGCTCTTTGCTTTTCTTTGTTGAACCTCCCCTAGAAACAGTAGTCCTTGAAGACTCCGTATAGTTGTGAAAACATAGGATTCAAAATCTAGCTTTTACTTTTCAAGATTACTATAGAAAGTCTCTGAGTGGTTTAGTTGGAATTGGAATAGGCAGATTTGTGCGTATATATAGAATAAAGTTCTGTATAAACATCTTTTTTTTTTTTCTGGCTGTGTAGGAGTTTTTCTGCTCTATTTTGAAGATAATGGAACCTGCTTCAATATAGCGGAATTTCAAAATTCTGAAACCATATATCAAATGGGACTGTGTTGTACCAAATTCCATTTCACTTCTCTAACCAGTACTTCGTAGTCAGGTGGCCATTAACTGAAGTTTGTAGAAATTAACCATCTATGCGATTGTTCCTGCCTAGCTCACTAAACAAGCTAACCCTACAAAATTCACTACATTTGGCTTAGCAGGATTTGAATTTTCGTTCAAAGCTTCACTGTATGCATCGCATGACTCAAAATACTGTCAGGTCATAAGGCAATACCTATGCTTAATTAAATCCCTGAGGTCCCCCATGCATCCTTGCAGTTCTTAACTCAAAATACTGTCAGGTCATAAGGCATGTTAAATCCCTGAGGTCCCCCATGCATCCTTTGTCACTGAGACCACTCAAAAGGAAGGAAAAAAAAAAACTAGCCTTCTTGTTTATTCTGTGAATTTGTAAAAGAAAAGGACAGTGAAAAAAATATAATTCATTTTAAAGAAGTGCATGTTAGGGCAGAAGAGTTGGCTTCAATGTTGGTCCCCTGCGACATGAGCTGCTGTCTACTGTGCCCTTGTGCATGTCTCAAACGTGTCACGTCTTTTTCTCTTGATTTCCTTCTGCAGTGGATTCTTCTTTGATGTTCTTTTGAGGGTCATTCAATGATAAGTGCCCTAGTACATTCTATCCCCTTCGATTCCTATTACATCACCAGTAAATAAATCAATGCGAATCTCTTTATAAAGTAGCTACTTCCAGAAGGAAGAAGATAAAACTGGAACTAATCTTTGGAACCTCAACAAGCTCTCTGTGTTTGTTTATATGTGTCCAAACAATCCCTATGTCCCTCCACGTTTAAGACCCTGCATCCTTCCGCAAAGACACACCAGCGAGGTCAGGTTCCCACATTAAGGGCCACGTCAACCCTAACCGTTTTTTTACCAACATTAACAAAACCCCACAAGCCCTTCTCTTTTTGAGATTACTCTGAAGAGAGCGCTTTTTTGGATTTGAATAAAAGCTCAGATTTTGAGTGGTCTTGATGATGGCTGTTGGAAGGGATAGTAAAGATTTAATAGGTCCACTTTTAGCAGTGAACCTGGTATTTTATCTCCTTGTGCTTGGGCTAGCAGGTTGGTCAGTTGACAAATACATCAATGGCGAACAGAATCACCCACGTAAGTACTCTTGATCTTTAATCAGCAGTTCTTTTGCTCTTGAGATACCAATTAGTGCTAGCTTGGGCCTGACGCTTTTATGCTATCTTCAGATTTGGGTGGCAATCCAGCAACAAGCTTCATGTTGATATATGCACTGATAGGTGGGGTAATTGGTGCTTGTTCAATACTTGTTGGATTTGTCCATCTTCGTGCATGGAGAAATGATAGTTTAGCAAGTGCAAGTGCCACGGCTATCATTTCATGGGCTATTACTGCCCTTGCTTTTGGGTATGTTCTCTCTGGCTAAAATTGAGCCTGAACATTGCACTTCTGAAGTACAATTGTATTTGCTTTCAAAAATAAAATTTCTCTGGTTTCTTTTGCAAATCATCGAGACTTTGGCGGTGTTTAGGATGTTAGTGGTAAGGGGATTTCTTTTAGCTCTACAAATAGTTTGTTGGTTGGGATGGAGTTGGAGAACTTTTTGATGATGAATACTGTACTAGTTACTCTTACAGAAAGAAACTGTATATAGAATACATTTAAGCATCTGTATTGGACTTATTCTTTTGTTCTTAATTCAAGTAACATTGATCAAATTAAATATGATTATACTCTCTATCTAATCTGGTTGAGTTTCTTGTTGTAGATTTGAATGCAAGCAAATCTTATTAGGAGGGCACAGAGGAAAAAGATTGGTAAGAACTCTAAAGTGGATAGTTTATATCAGCCATCTACTATCCATAGGCAATATTTTCTGAGTTTTTGGCTAAAAGAAGAGCTGGAAAAACTCTCCTATATTGCTACCTTATCACTTCCTTAATAACTGGTGATGTGCATGCAGAAAACTTTGGAAGCACTGATTATAATATCACTCCTAAGTCAGTTCCTGTATGTGGTGCTTCTCCACGCTGGTTTTTTCAGGAGCAGATACGGACCTGGTTACCATAATTATGGCAGTGATTCTGTCGGCGACATCCCCGTGGGCAATGAGCCACATATGTCTAGCACCTGAGAATGAAAGTTCTGGCATGTTTCTGTTTATGTGTATCAAACTTGCAGAACCTACGTTTCTTTACTACTACATGCTTGTGCTGAGCCATGTCCAAGACATTCAATTATAGTGTCAGAAGGAAATACAATCAAGAAGCTGATATAGTATAGTTGCTCAAATAATACAAGAATTTTTTTCTGCCAATTGGACCTTTTGATTTATTCATATGCTCAGAGAAAATCAGGCGTCAGCTAATCAAAATATTGAAACATCATCAGATGTATAAAAAATCTCTGATGTACCTAAGAAGAGTTATGAACTACATTTACTAAAAGTGACAGGTGAATGGTATACTTACAGCAGCAACACAGAATGTGCTATCACCAACTTCTGAAAGAATTGTCATGGCGAGGGATTTAAACATAGAATGCCAGTGATGACAACTTACTTTCCTTGCTCAAATAATACCACAGCAAGAGCATAGCTCTTAGCCCCAACTCGACCCTCCATTGATGGTTTTTTAATCTGGTACCCCGTAAAGAACATTCAATACATAAAAGTCTCTATATCCTGGCCTATAAAGTTGCATCCTTGGAAGCAAAAGCCATGGAATGATGCATATATTGTGTTAAAGAATCATCTTGACTGAGAAGATTAAATTGTTAGATGAGGTCTTAAAAATGACTTTTAAGAGAGAATGAGTTGCAGAGAAAAAATATAAATATCGGAATGAAGTGAAGAGCAAAAGTTTGGTCTACAGGCGAGGCCACACTACTGCATCTCCTGGTCAATAGGACTCAATCCCAAATTCATACTTTGAAAAGATAGCTTGTCTCAATGTATATTGTCTCCTTGAGCTGAAAAGGGTATTCTGAGTTGCATGAACATTAAACAGAATTCCTCAAAATATAAACTCCTTCAGCTTATTGGTAACAGATTCAACACCAACCATAAGAAAATTGCAGAATAAAACACTAACCTAGAACAAAACTATCATTGTAGTGATGAAGACTGAAGAGAATGTCAAGAAACATTTAACTTGCTCAAAGGGAAGAAGTCAGATTATTGTGGAAACAAGTCCTTGGTAGCAGAAAGCTAGATTTGTCAACTTAAGCAGTGGTTCAAGGGTAGAAATGACCTTTTACGGTAGAAATAGCACAATTGAATTTTTCCCTATTTTTTTTATTATAATAGATGCTCGGTTGAAAATCTATAAGTTTTGGGCTGTTTTTTTTTTTAAATAACTTTTTTTATAAATATTTTCCTCTTTATATTTCAAATTTTTATCATTTTACACTAGGCTATTTATCACTATTTTTTAAAAAATATATTTTTTTATTTTTTTCTTAGTATTTTTTTAAAATTAATTTTTTAATATTTTTTTTCTTGGTATTTTTTATCAAATTAATTTTTTAATATTTTTAGGTCATTTTAACGTGCTATATCAAAAAAAATATTTTTTTTTAAAAATATTATTCTAATATATTTTCAAAAAATAAATAAATTCTACCACAACATTAAACACCACCTAAAGCATTAAATGAGGAAAAGTTAAAAAAAAATAAATTCTACCACAAAATTAAACACCACCTAAAGCATTAAATGAGGATGTAGCAAGCCTGTAACTCTTTTCACATTCCTTGAAAGACAGGAATAAGATTAGAGAACTAACATTAATTATTACATGAACTTATCCTTAACAGGAAATACGTACTATATTGCTAATTAACCACCGTTTTCTTTTCAAGTATATATTTCCTATGTTGGTTTGTACATATTAATAATACATTTCCTATAATATATCTGGTTCCGAATCCCCTATACTGTTCTGCACTTGCATGCCTGGCTGCCTCCCAACGTCAACATCGTATATTTACCTCAAATACGCTCAGTTACCGAGCAACAATTCTCTGTTTTTTTGCACTGTTTTAATTTCCAAATTTAATTTATAATTAGCAGCTTCGGGGACATTCTGTCTTTTGCTTGCATGTTGTTTCCGGACAATAATTCCTTTTCTATTTCTATTAATACTAGCTAATATTTTCTAAAAAAATCCACTTTATTTGTGTCACCTTCTCTAATATTTTTCAGGGGATAACTCACAGAAACCAGAAACTCCTCCCACACAAATATTTTGAATCCCGTCCTGCAGCTGCCAAGGGAAAGCCAGACATGCAACTTCTAGCGAAGAGACATTCTACGTCATGCCTGGGAGGACGATCATGATGCTGCCGCCGCACCAACGGGACATATATACGAGTCTTTTTTAATGCACCGTACACATGCAATATCGAAAGATATTACAATCTCAGGGAGGGGTGGCTCTTTTTAGCTTGTGGAAAAGAGATAAAACCCTTGGTTTTTTTAGCTCGATACTGATTGATTATTAGCTAGAATTGCACAGAAAATCATGATGTGCATCCTTAGTCGATAAAACTTGATATTTTACAGGTACATACCTACTTTCCTTTTAGATTATACCAAGCAATTCTCTTCCTTATCATGTCGATGTTGAATTGTTGTGTGCGCGTACATAGAACCACTAGAGAGGTGGTAAGAAGGCATGAAGTCAGGTTGATAGCGCCGAAAGCTAGGTTGAAGATTTCATCATTACAAGGACAGTATTCAATTAATAGTGATCACTTACCAGTCACCAGAATGCTTGAAATCCATGGCCCAGACATGAAAATTGAACAGCTCTTCCTGCAAGTAGTGTGGCAAAGTCCAAAACCATCCCAATCACCAGGAAGTAATACAGAAAATTATCCTACGTTAATGTTCTCTGCGTTGGTCTTGCATTGTCTAGTTCTGACTTTTAGACACAATCATGTCATATCTATTTAGAATCACCAGTGTGCCATTCCACAATGGCCAAGGTATGGCGACCTCCACTAGCAACAAGTTTAGCAATCCAGCGTCTCTCATCTCCAATTTCACCAGGATTTTTAGGAGGTGGGATGTCTATTGGCACTTCCATTGGTTGGCCTGTAGTCACCTTCCTCCCATATCCAAGTCGTCCATGGTCACCTCGACCAAACTGCCAGAAAAACCAGTCAGTATACATTACTGATCAATTTTAAAACAAAAGTCATTCGCAAAGAAAGTGGTTGAATTGCAAGTATCTAAACCTATGCAAGTTTGTTTTTTTAAGCGTTCATGGAGGCAATTATGTTAAGAGGCAGTGACATGATAAATACACATGGATGTGGGATATATGAATCAACCTCTATGATTCTGCCAGTGAAAGGTGAATACAAAGAGGAATAAAAACTGCACTCCAACCATATATCATGCCATTGGAATAGAAAGAGCTGATTATACTTACTGTATACATCCGTCCATCACGTGTCAATGCAACTGAATGAGTCCCGCCACAAGATACCTGGATCACCAACAAATCAGCTCAATCTTGAACCAAGTGAAGATATTAGACTGGTTAACCATAGCATGCTAAAAAATAATAACGATTCAAATTTATCTCTGTTAGATTCAATTCCAATAATAAGAATTGTCATGACAAACACAAATATGGGCTGCAAATATTGGGCATCACTACAAATTATATTAAAAATCGCAAGACTTGCAAGTCATCATCAAACAATTCTCAGAGCTCCTACATCTCCTTGCAAGGGTTGATTGAAAACCTGTTGCTGTACTTGATTAAGTGCTCTTAATTACAGTATTACTATTAACACTATACTAAGATGGCTGGAAATACGCATCCAAAACTCCAGTGAAAATGGGTCTCACAAATGAGTGAGCATGTAATCCAGTCATTTTCTTTGTAGAAATGGTTCCCCACCGTTTCAAGTCCAGGTTTGGTTTCAAGTTTAAGCAAAATTTACCAAACGCTCACAATCCTCAAAAAGACCGAACATCTTTTAACATACTATGGACACAAGCGATGATCTTATAAATGAGGATTTTCATACATATATGCCTTATCCTGTGGAACTTGCTATTTAACAATCCTCTAATACACCAATACAAGCAAAAGGAAGCCAAATAATTTGTAATGTATAAAAAGTGCAATTAAGAACTTCCAAGAGTACCCAAAAGCATATGGCTCAATGTTGATAATACCTGAACAATCTCCTCCCCTACTAAAAGATTAACCCTTTGGGGAACCATTTTACTGCTCTTGTCATTATCTCCAAAACCCAACCTTCCATGTTCACCTCTTCCCCAGCCATACACCTGCAAAAGAAGGCACAGGTATTATGCAAGAAGTTATTTTCATCTCATATATTAAAGACAAAGAAAACCAGATTAGGTAACGTAGCATAAGTGACGCGGCAAGTAAAACCTGATTCTCCTTAAAAACAAAATTACAAGGAAGCTAGATTTATTCACAGAGCATATTATTAATGGAGACAGTTCCCAGACTAAGAGAGGGGGTATGTCTGTGATTTCGAATAAGAAAAATCCAATTCAAGCATCGTGAAAAAATCTGAGAGAAGGGGGAACAAGGCCTCAAAGCCAATAGCTAAAAGCAAAACTTTAATTTAAAATACAACCATTTCAAGAAAAATAACAAGCTAGGAAGTTCTGCCACTTAAAATCCTAGTACAGTTAAATTACAAAAATGATACAAACAAATAAATAAAACAATAAGCTCAAGATATAAAAAATAAAATCGAACAAACTTATCGCTATTTGCAGTCGTGCACTAGAAAAAGTCTTAAAATGACAAGCATGTAGTCAACTTATGAAACTTTTATATTAAAAGAGCATATTTACCTCCCCATCATCAGTCAATGCAGTAGAATGCCATCCACCAGCAGCAATATCAACCTAGACACACACTCAGGCTATTGTAGATATGAAAATGAAATTAAGCACAAAATGTCTAAAGTTTTAACAATAAAGAAAACTCATTCTATATCACCAACATTAACAATCAAAATCTAGAGTGTAAGCCTTCATGAGAAGTTAACAGGCTATTGTAAGACATCACCAATGTTTGAACACAGATCTTTACCGCTTTTATAAGCTTTAGTATCTACAGAACTAAATTGAAAAGTGATACCTTGATCATGCCAAGGCACCATATATAAGGCCACTCTCACACTAGATGATGCCGATCTTTTCAGAGAAATGTTCCAAACAACCAATTATAGAAAACAGGCATATTTTCCAAGGAATTATTCAGGTAATCTGGGAAAAAGGATTTTCACAACAGAAAAAAAAAAAAAGCAGCAGCAGCAACAACAATTGTGAACCCAATCATCAATAAAACCATAACACTTTAGGAGCCACGTGTTCAGATAATTTTTTTTTGAGAAACTGTATCATGCAAGTAACCATGCCTAGTGAAATGGAAGGAAAAAAAATCATCAAATGTCAAGGGACTTAAGAATGTGAAACAAACCAAAGTGAGACCAGAAAGTCCTTGGACAGTAATAGGTTGAGATCTTGGCTGGGTATCACCGGTTCCAAGCTGTCCATATTCATTATTACCCCAAGCCCATAAAGTTCCATCTTCTTGAAGAGCTAAATTATGAAATGCACCAACTGCAATGAGCCTCACTCTTTCAAGGCCTTGTACACGCACAGGGACAGATATCTGCTTTCTGCAAATAAGTAAACAATGTGAGCAATGAATATACATTAAAACAGCTACAATACGAAGACACAGCAAGCTATAAATACAAGTACAGTTCCAAAGCATGTAACATGGACAAGAAACAGGATATCTAAAAACATAATTGACAGTTAAGTCAAGGAAACTGTACATGTCTCCAGGAGGCCATGGTTGACCCCAGCTCCATACATGCCCTTCACGTGTGAGAACCACAGAGTGAGTACCCCCAGCAGCTACCTAACATATCAGCAATTAGAACAGACAGAAAACCAATATTCAAATTTAACATACAAGTGCAATATTCAAATACAGAAGTGAGGTAAGCAAAAGCAAATCTGCATGTAGTACGCATGCTAGTCTCAAAGTGGTATGATGCATACAACTGATACTTATGGCTTACAATGAGTAAGACGCCACCAGCAGAAAAATAAGGATTCCAAAACTATAATTAATTTATTTCCACATTAAGAAGAAAAAAGTTACACCCTGACGCTGTAATATATTTTAAAGGGCCAGGATTACAACTTATGCATTCTACGGTCTCAAATACCATTCTTAAGTATTCATGTCACCCTAATGTTATCTGTCAACCTTCTTGAGTTGTCTTATTATTAACTCACTCAGAAATACCTTGAAAAATATGCATGCACAATTAACCATCCTCTTCCATGTATTCATGGGAGAGAGAATAGAATTCAAAATAATAATAATAACAAGGAATGAAATTAAAAACAAATGGTGGATGCCTGAGTATTCATTAACCTATAATAACCAAGGAGATACTCTAAAACCATATTCATGCAGCTTAAGTGGGGAAGATATTGAAATGGATTTTTTCAACATAATTTGACTCCAGCACTCTATAATGTTTGTTAGAAATGAAAATCACCTGGCGAACTACAAGATTTGATGCACAGCGTTGGGGAATGACTATATCCCTTCTTAAAGGCCTCCCAGTGTCATCTTTCCTCTCAGGTTCTTCACCACACTGGCCATATTCATTTCCACCTACATTGTCCAAGATACATCATATTTAGATTCATCATTCATCACAAGTGACATCCCCACTAGTCCTTCCACAGGTATACAAACAATGAAGCAACCTAACTACAATCACAAGAAAGAACAGCAGAAAAAGTAATGAACATGAGTCATGATGTGTCCAAAAAAGATCATTTCATTTTCTGCAACTCTTTTCTTACATACAGTAATGAACCAAACCAAGCAAAATTATTCGGATAGGAGAAGAAAAATGATCCTGACATCTCAATGATTCATTCTCATAAGCAGATGATGGGATGATTAATAAGAGAACGGAAATTAAAAAGGGACCATTGCATACCCCAAGCATAAGCACGTCCTTGATCATCAACAGCCAAACAATGCCACCCACCAATAGCTGCCTAAAAATCAAGAAACCCAAAAACCAAATATTAGAAGAAAAATTATTAACATTCACAAACACACATACAGACCAGTCCTCGCATAACCAAAGGAAAACATAGTTACAATGGTTTTAAAAAACTAATAATAATTAAAAAAAGAAAAACTAGTACCTGAACAATGTTGACATTAGCAAGAGCCTTGACCTGGCTAGGAATGTTCTCAGTCTTGGTCTCCGGTGGATGCCCTAATGTCCCTCTTTGGTTCCAACCCCAAGTAAACAACTAGCAACATCAATCAAAACATTTTTTTATGCCCATTTATCTAGACACACTAATAAACAAACAAATACTCAACAATTCATTCAAGTTGATCATTTTTATTTTTTTTAATCTTGGCTCGAATCCAAAACAATTATCAATAACTCATTTAATTACTTTAATCTAAATAAATTTAAGTTTCATTTCACTAAAATTTTTAACTACTTTAACCGTCAGAAACTTAAAGGAATCAAAATTAAAAACTTTACTATAACAAGAAGTAAAAAAAATCTGAACTTTCAATCAACAAACTTAAATCAATTACTCTTCTTTTAACCATATATACTAATATTTCCTTTACAGTTAAGAAAGAGAAGGGTAAGAAAAGAGAAACCTTGCCGTCATCACAAATGGCCAGAGAGTTGCGGCTTCCAGCAACAACAGAGCGAACTTTGTAAGGCTCAAGAGCTTTGACAATGCAAACCCATTCTTTTTCTTCGTTATTTCCTATCCCTAGTTGTCCATCCTCACCTGATCCCCTGTTTGTTATTTCACAAACAAAATTAAACCAAAAGCACTTCCATCTTAATTTTGATGCAGTTAAGAGTCAGTGAGAGAGATAGAATAGTTACCAGGCAATCACAGAGGACTCGGTTGCCATTAGAAATCGAGAACCTTGAGGTGTCTTACCCCCTGTACTAAAAAACTTGAGAAAGTTAGTGAAGGTTCTCTTGTTTTTTCTTTTTCATTTCCCTCTCTCTTTTTTTTCATTTTTTTTTTGTATTTTTCTCTCTCTCTCTCTCTTTCAATTTTGTTTCTTACAATAATCCGAATTTTTTTGTTTTTATTGATGAACTAATCAAATTGAAAAAAAAATTATATTGTATATTTTTAAATTTAAAAAAATCTAAAAAATAAATTTTTCTATATTAATTTTATTTTTTAAAATTTTATTATTGATATTTTTTTAATTATAAACTTAAACTTTCTTTTTTATTTGTATGTCAAGTTATTTTTTAATTAATCAAGTCAATTAGTTTATTTATACACAATTTTATTTTAAATTTGAATTATCAAAATACCGGGTTGTAAGGTTTTTTTAATTAATTTCATCTTTTTTAAAAGTTTATTCTTAAAAAATTTTATTAGTTAAATTAACTAAATTGTATTAAAATAACTCTTACATAATTTTATTTTAAACTTAAACTAAATAAAGAGTTATATAAAAAAGATTTAACTTAGTGTGTTAAGTTTAATAATAATAATAAATAATTTTTTACAACTTATATATATCTTTTATTATATTAAAAAATTAATCTAATCCACATGAATTTAGTGCCCAATTAGTTGATTAAAAAGGGGAGGTTTTTATAGAGTTGCTTTTTAGGTTAGTGGTGGTAATGGGATTAGGGCATGCTAACAATGGAGGTTTTTTAAGAAATATTTTTTGGGGTTACTGGTGGCAGTGGGATTGAGATATAGTATAAAACCCTTCCAGCTCAATTAGTTGATTAAAATTTTTTGACTAATTAAGAATCATGTTGAATTTTAAAAAAATACCTTGGAACGCATTTTATATATTTGAATTATGGCAGTTAATTTAAATTTTAGATTATTATTTTTTTAGATTAATTAAGAATGATGATGAAATTGAATGTAAAAATTTGGTTGGAATAGATACATGTTTAAATAGAGAATACTGAATTATTTTTAATATAAGGTTGCAGTTTGATCTAAATGTTTTTTTGTAAAATCTGATAATTATAATTGGGGTTTTATGCGAATTGGATTCGACAGCGGTCCACTCACTCCCTAGTGGACTCATCGGAAGATCCAAGAACGTGGAAAGGAACAAACGATGACGTTTTCACTCTGGTCTTCTCACTCTCTAGTGGACTCGTGGGAGGATCCAACTGATGTTTGGAACATAAGAAATAATTTTTATTTAGAATATATTTAAATAATATTATTTTTTTATTTTTTAAAATTTATTTTTCACTTTAAGATATCCCAACAATTTAAAAATAAAAAAAAATAATTTAAAATAAAAAAGATTTTCAACAAATGCGCACCACCAATATGCTCCACTGAGGTATTATGACAACTTAGAATCTAGAAAACAACGGTCGAACAATGACATCACATGGCAGGGCCAAAGGATGCATTCAAACCAGATCCACGGATATATATATAAAAAAAAAATGATTAACACCAACAGAGATTGTAGGCATCGCTACTAAAAACTTGATAATCTGTTGGTACCACACTCAAGGCTATCAAATTCATTAAAACATCCAGCTACAATAACCCAAATGGCGTCTGTAAATATCACCAGATAGAAGTACAGAGTGCATTATCCTATGAACTGAACTTCATCACTGTGGCCCATCGCCTGATTCACGTTTTGATGCTTCCTTGATCTCATCCCCAGCATCATCCTAAAATTTGAAAAAATGAATACAATGAGCATATAACCAGCAGGCCAATACGTCACAAGCAGTTGCTCATGCATAAGCAAGATCAGGTCACAGCCACCTGGGACCATTTCTGATATCAGAAAACTTGATTTTCTGTTTCAATCTCTCACGAGATGCCAATAACCTCAAACAACGGTGAATTACGATAGAAAGAGACCTAAACATGCCACCATATGACATTGGTGACAATACTATCGGCATCAGGCATAATTTCCCTTTGAACTTGAAATTATAACACTTTGTTGGAAGTCCAATCAAGTGGTAGTTTTAACATGCGAAGAGCAAAGCACATAATTTTCTTAAGAATAGGCAATGCACGAAATGCATTATTATGCTGCACATATAGCATATAGTTCCAGGACAGGATTTAATTACTTTGTAATCTGTAACGAGAATGGTTCAACCGCGTCACAGCCAACCGAATATCAACATGAAACACATGTAATTAAATGCATGCTTGCATAGATGCACACATGGGTTGTGCAAGCTTGTACAAATAGAGAGGGGGGGAAGAGAGAGACCGTGATATCAGAAGTCCAGAGTGTCAGATTGTCACGGAGAAGTTGCATGATCAATGTGCTGTCCTTGTAAGACTCCTCACCCAAAGTATCCAGCTCGGAAATAGCCTCATCAAAAGCCTGACCAAATAAAGTATATTTAAGGGATGTCAAGAGGGCCAACAGATAGGTCAATGACTTGCATGCAATCAAGGATATCGACCTTAAGGACTGGATAGGTATCAACTTATCTTTAGGAAAACAAGGCCTTGTCAACTAGGTCTTATATTAATACAGATCAAATTGAACATAAAAGAACAAATGTACTACTATGAACCAATTACTAATAGCGTGTTTAGTATTGTGATGCAAGATGTTTTTTAAAAATGATTTTTACTTGAAAATATATGAAAAAAAAAAATTCAGATTCTTTTTTTAATTTTTGACACATCAAAACCATAAAAAAAATCTATTTGAAGCCTTTTTCAAGCCAAACAAAAACGGTGCTTTGGTAATACAAAAGGCAAAAAGCAAGATTTCACTAATATGTAAAAATATTTAGTAAATTGAAGAAGAGAGGACAAAAACATTCTCTCAATAAACAACAATCAATCAAAGATGTCAACCCTATGGACAAATATATAATTACATTTAAGGGAGAGACCAAATGTCCCAGCATCAATGCTTCACACCAAAAACAACTTTCAGCAATACAATTTGCATAAAATAATTGACACCAAAACCACCAAGGCACTCAAAATGTTTAACTTCCATCAAGCTCGAAGCTAAAATCCAATTAGATGCCAGTTATAAAATTCAATATTTAAGCTAAACTGAATAAGAGAAATATAATCATATCAATAAAGAAAAACATAAATCACTTCCTTTCACTCAAAATAATGAAAACTAAACAGAAGAATATGAATTTCGCAACTTGCCTAAACATAGAGGCAGATAAAGGCCAATTGATAAGGTATGCAAGGAAGTACCTGCTTAGCAAGATTGCAAGCACGATCAGGAGAGTTAAGGATCTCATAGTAGAAGACAGAGAAGTTAAGTGCAAGCCCCAGCCTTATTGGGTGGGTAGGAGCCAGTTCAGAAAGAGCAATATCCTGCAACAAACAAAACATAAGCAAAATGAGCATTGAAATAATAGCTTCACCTATAAACCACAACAACAATGATAACTATACAACTTCTTAATAATAGGCAACATGCCAGCACATCCAGGACCCACCTGAGCAGACTTGTAAGACAACAAAGTGCTCTCAGCAGCTTCCTTCCTCTCAGCCCCCGTCTTAAACTCAGCAAGATACCTATGGTAATCACCCTTCATCTTGAGGTAAAATACCTTGGACTCAGCAGCTGAGGCAGAGGGAACAAGATGTGTCTCAAGGAGGCTCAGGATACCGTCACAGATCTTGCTGAGCTCAGCTTCGATCTTTCCCCTGTACTCCTTGATTATTGTCACATGATCTTCATTTCCCCTATTCTCTTCCTTCTGCTCAATGGAAGAGATGATCCTCCATGAAGCCCTCCGAGCTCCAATCACATTTTTGTAGGCCACAGAGAGCAAGTTCCTTTCCTCCATGGTTAGCTCCTCATTATCAACTGTCTTTGCAACTTTCTCCATAAACTCCACCATTTCTTCATAACGTTCAGCCTGTTCGGCCAACTTGGCCATGTAAACATTCTCTTCACGTGATGATTCAGTTGGAGACATCCTTTATATATCAAACTAAAAGTTACTTCTGCAAGGTTATTCCAAACAGAAGTATCATTAGAAAGACCTGAACAACATCAAACTTTAATGCTTACATTTTATTACATAACTAGCTTCCACAGTCATGAATCAACTCTTCCATCAACCACTTAATAACACGTCTCAATCTGTTGACTTCTAACTTTTCATCCTTGAGTTAGTGATAATTTACAAAACTTCCCGACCTTTTAAACCTCAAGATTGAATAAAGTATAGGCAGAGGCACTACTTCGAAAAAAACACATTTTCCCAACAATGATCTTCGCTACATTAACAAAACCAAAGCCCCAGTTCAAGTTAGAAAACAGATTTCTAAAAGTCATTTAAAAAGAGAAGTCTCATCATTGCTTTAACAGGAAAAAATAAAGCCCCAAATAGATCAAAATCACAAATCAGTCACTCAACAAATAAAAACCAAACTTCCACAACACCCCCCCCCCAAGAAAAAAAAAACCCAAGTTAATAACAATCAAACACCTATTCCTCAACTTCTCCATTATTTTCTCGTTACCAAAACAGATCATATCCATCCATGAGGAAACAACAAAATCACACTGTATCTTGCAAAAACGTTTCATTTGTCAGAAACTGACCTCTTAGCCTCAAATTACAAGACCTAATTCAAGTTATTGATTCTTATTTCCTCAGCAAATCGTGAAACTAAATCTGACCCTCTATTTTTAGTATCTCCCAAAAAAATAAAACAAAAAATCTGCTCTATTTATCCAAATCAATCAATTTTTTTTTTTAAAAAAAACACTTCACCAAATCTCGAGTACAAAAAAAAAAAACACTTCACCAAATCTCGAGTACCAAAACGCATTCAAATTGACAAAAAATATAATAAATAAAAAATTAGAAACACACAAATCCTAGCAGATCGATTAAAAACCACAAATAACATAAATCCACGAAAATAACCAAATACAAACCACAGATCTAGCCCTAAAAACCAAAAAAAAAAAAAGACTGATTAAAAAATCAAATTAAAAAAAGAAAAACAACTTTACCGTGGAAAGAGATTTGCAGAGACGGATCTCTCTCTCTCTCTCTCTCTCTCCGTGCGTGATAGAAAAGGGGAGTATTTTGGGTTTATTAAAAAGGGTGGTCAAGAGGGGAGCTTCCAATGGGAAAGTGACAGGTGTTGGGTGGCGGTGATTTGTGGAGATTTTAGTTTTCTTTTCGGATTTATTGTTTTTCGTAAGGACACGCTGGCGTTGACTGTCAACAGAGTGTAAGTTTATGTAATGATAACTATTGAACATAGAGTGTGCTGTGATATGTCAATAATGTAATTAACTTTTTTAGATATAGTAATTCAATAAAAATAACATTTTAACGAATCATATAATTTTTTTAGTTTTCTAATATTTTTATTTAACAGTTGAAAACCGGCCATTTTAACTGTCGTTGTTCATGGCTTTTCATCTGGCAATCTGTTGGAGAAGCCCTAAGGGTTTATCCTCCGTGTGCGTGTGCACGATGCACGCGTACAGCTAGTTTGAAGATGGTTAAAAAGTGGAAAAATATTTACCACAATCGAAAAAATAATTTTTTTTATATTTTTAAATTATTTTAATATATTAATATTAAAAATAAATTTTAAAAAATAAAAATTTATTTTTATATATTTTTAAATATTTTAAATAACAACCATCACTATAATCTCAAATAAATCTAAAATGATTAAGTGGTGTCAACCATCACTACAATTTCAAATAAATCTAAAATGATTAAGTGGTGTGTACGAGGGTTCAATTTTTTTACATGGTATTTAAAGTTTAATTTTAATTTTTTTTAAATTAATATATCAAAATATTTTTTTAAAAAAATATTTTTAAATAAAAACAAATTTAATTATTATAAAAACATTATTTAAAACGCAATTATAATCAACCTTTTCATTTCTTTGCATGTTCATCACCTCAACGGGATTGGGACTTGGAATTGGAATTTTGAGCTTCGCCGACTATGCTTTTTTTATCCCACCATAAGGTATTTCGAATGAGTTTCAATCAATACTAAATTTTATCAATGAGAAATTTAATAATTTTGTTATCCCCACTTGGAATCTTGTACTTTATATAATCATTTTATTATTATTATTGTTATTATTATAAAGGTATTTTTGAATTAATTAATGTATAGCTGAGACTAAATTTTCTCCTCGTTCTAGATAAACACCTTTCATATTTTGGAAATATTTAATAATTCTTTCTCAATCCTAATCTTAAAATCTGAAAACAATAAGTAATAAAAAAACCTTTTTAATTAACAGATAAAGAACTTGAAATTAACCAATCAATTATTAAATGCCACCACACTTCATTTCTCTTTCTCTTCCCTTGATGTTTGGATAATTTAAATTATTTTTAATAGAATAAATTGTTGTTATAAATAATATTTATCGAGAATTTCTTTGTAAATGATAAGTATCCCATCAAGGCAATGACGCCTCTTGACATGTACTTGTTAAAAAGATGAAAGTAGATGAGTGGTAAATATACTAATAATAAATTTTAAATGATTTTTTCTATTTGAAAATATATTAAAATATTTTTTTATTATTAAAAAATATTTTTAATATTAACACATCAAAATAATTAAAAAATAATTTTAAAATTTATCCACTTTTTATTTTATTTGGAAGGTGATACCGAATAGTAGTCACTATTAAAATTAAATAATTAATTGAAATTTAATAAATAAACTTTCACTTTAGCGAGGTGAGCTCATTGCTATCAAAATTTCTTATGGATGTAGCTGATCAGTGCCCGATCTTGGTAAGAGAAAGGGCTTGTTGGGTGTCAAAACTCTCAACTCCTACTGCTATAATTTTCCTTCTCCATTTAAAGTCTGCTCGATGCTTATTTTGTAATATTTAGTGTAAAATCCAAAGATAGTTAGCTCGCAAAATATTAATATAGATTTGGGCTAGATTTTAATTTACATTGAGTTTTACATAAATACTACTAAACTTGCGTAACATAAGAGGTTAATTTGTGATTTAATTTATCTAATATAAACTCAATTCGGTTAAAATTAAGGAATTTTAAAAAAATTAAAATGTTATTGTTTCTTAAGATCTTGATGAACTAAATTTAAGAAAATAAACTTAATTAAACAGTTAAAATAATAATTTTCTAACTAATTTTAACAATTCAGTATTGGAATGGATCGTGAACATGGAATGAAACTTTGGAAATTATCTTTTAGCTTAATTATTTAGAAAAACAAATACTTAATAAAAAGAACCATCATATTCATACCCGACTTGAGTTTTTCCCATATGGGTAATATAGACTTGGGTCCGGGACCCAGCCACCAAGCCCGACCCAACTTTCACTTGTTAAGTGACCCAACTCAGAAGCAAGGCAGCGCCACCACATCCATTTTGGGCACAAAACTGACTCACTGAGTTCGATCTCTCGCATAGCTACAGACTCTAAAAAAATCCCAATCCAACGTCATTGAGTAGCTTGAGCTATCGATAATAAATTTTAAATGATTTTTTCTATTTGAAAATATATTAAAATATTTTTTTATTATTAAAAAATATTTTTAATATTAACACATCAAAATAATTAAAAAATAATTTTAAAATTTATCCACTTTTTATTTTATTTGGAAGGTGATACCGAATAGTAGTCACTATTAAAATTAAATAATTAATTGAAATTTAATAAATAAACTTTCACTTTAGCGAGGTGAGCTCATTGCTATCAAAATTTCTTATGGATGTAGCTGATCAGTGCCCGATCTTGGTAAGAGAAAGGGCTTGTTGGGTGTCAAAACTCTCAACTCCTACTGCTATAATTTTCCTTCTCCATTTAAAGTCTGCTCGATGCTTATTTTGTAATATTTAGTGTAAAATCCAAAGATAGTTAGCTCGCAAAATATTAATATAGATTTGGGCTAGATTTTAATTTACATTGAGTTTTACATAAATACTACTAAACTTGCGTAACATAAGAGGTTAATTTGTGATTTAATTTATCTAATATAAACTCAATTCGGTTAAAATTAAGGAATTTTAAAAAAATTAAAATGTTATTGTTTCTTAAGATCTTGATGAACTAAATTTAAGAAAATAAACTTAATTAAACAGTTAAAATAATAATTTTCTAACTAATTTTAACAATTCAGTATTGGAATGGATCGTGAACATGGAATGAAACTTTGGAAATTATCTTTTAGCTTAATTATTTAGAAAAACAAATACTTAATAAAAAGAACCATCATATTCATACCCGACTTGAGTTTTTCCCATATGGGTAATATAGACTTGGGTCCGGGACCCAGCCACCAAGCCCGACCCAACTTTCACTTGTTAAGTGACCCAACTCAGAAGCAAGGCAGCGCCACCACATCCATTTTGGGCACAAAACTGACTCACTGAGTTCGATCTCTCGCATAGCTACAGACTCTAAAAAAATCCCAATCCAACGTCATTGAGTAGCTTGAGCTATCGAAATGGGATACATACAGGAAGCACGTGAGAATCATGTGAAGAAGAAAGTAGAAGAAGGTACTGCTTTGACCTATAACCATCTCTTAAACCCTAACAAAACCCTTTTCTTTTTCTTTTTCTTTTTCTTTTTCGTTTTTTCGTAAAAGAAACAATCTTTGCTGATGAAATGCGTTTCTGAGTTTTGGGTTTTGTTTTTAATTGCATTGATGATTATCTTTTTTCAGTGGAATTGAATTTAAAGTTAATTTATTTATTGAATTAAAATTTGTAGCTTTGAGAAGCAAAATGAAGCAGAAGGCGCTAAAACAATGTGAGGAACACGCATCCAAATATGCGCAATGTGCAACTGGAAGAACAATGTCTGTTGTGTGGCAGTGTAGGAAACAGGCTAAAGAATTAAATGAATGCCTTCATCAATAGTAAGTTTGATTGATGTATCTCTTTGTTTGATTTCTTGTTTTGTGTTTTTCTCTATAACATTATACATGCGCATGCTCGACTGCGTGTTTGTGCGTTTGATGATGATGATAGGTTACGTGTTGTGATTTAATGGGAAATTGATTCATTATGTGTTTGTGTGGTCTTTCTCAATTGGAGCGGCTTGATGGGTTCTTCTTGGGTTGTTTTTTATTATTATTTTGTGTTTTGAGTGTATAAATTTTCGTTGAAGGGGTTTTGATTAATGCTTGAGATGAGTGATCTTGGTTTAAGGGGTTTTTTGATTAATGCTTGATATGATTGATCTTGAGTTGGTTTTCAAGAGAGTTGGATAATTGATTCACCTTCTGATAGGTTCTCAGATGTTGAGCAGCTGTGTTCAGCGGGTGATATTAGACTCCCATCCTCCAATGGAGAATGTGATATCGAGTTTGAAGACCTTTTTCCTTGTTTTCGAGTAGGAATGAAGTTCAAGTGTCTTTGAGGTCTTCCTTTTGGTTTTGGGAAGGTCTAAGGTACTTGCCTGATGAAACAAAATTTGAATTGTTACTGGTAATTTTGTCAATCTAGTTGGACTTGATTCTAGTGCTGTGCATCTCTAAATACACATCTGGAAAATAAAGCTGAATTAAGGGGGAAAAAAAACCTTGGGAAGTTCATTTTGACGCCTAATTGATGATGTTCCCTATCCAGCTATATCTGATACAAGTTAAGGCAAATGTACTCTGGCATAAAGGTAGAGATGAGACCACAGATATGGAAGGCATCCATAATTCAAAGGCAAATTTGAGTGAGAAAAAGGATACGATCATAATTTGCATTTTGTGGACTTCTTAGAAATATCATTTATTTGCTGGGTAAGTAAAGATGCTTTGAGATTGTGCTCATGTCAGTGCATGGCAAGGTTTCTATTTTAGTCAAGCCAACCGGTGGTCCTCACTTGCTGCAACTGTACTGTATGTTGTATGTGCTTTAATTGCCATGTTACTCACGTAGAAAGTTGCTATGAGGTCGTGAGGATAAACGGTGTGCAACTGGAAAAGTGAGTATGCATCAGTGGACTACCTAAAGGGCTACCCTAAGGTCTTTTTAAGGTTTGCTTCTTGATAGTGTGACTTGACTCGACTTGGGACCCCTCTGCGGGTTAAGTCTGCACATGCTGTGCTTAGTGAATACTGGATGATAGGGGTCTAATGGGACATTGGCAAGCCAGAAGTAGGCTCAATTGATAAAGTGCTGAATATGCTCTCAGCTTCTGGTCCATTTTATCCATGTAGCAATTGTTGGCTTACTGTTTGAGGTTAAGACCCGCGCATCCAGATAGGACAGATCATATTATAGATTCTATTGTGGTTGAAAAAATATTAAGGCAGAGTAGAAACATCTATGGTTCTGTATGTGATTTGCTGAAAGTTGGTTTGTGCCAGATGACCATTTTTCCTCCATGCTTTTATTCTGCATTGGCATTTAAATTTCTTTTATGAGGCATTCAAATGTTTCTTACTACCACTACATTAAGATTTTTCCGGATGGGATTTGGGTGCCTTGTAGAGATAGTTGCTAGGTTAATCTGTTTTGGTGATGTAACATGGCACTTTTGACGAGTCAGCAAAAATTGCATGCTGGTACTTTGCATTAAATTTCTGATTGTGATTTCCAATTTATTGGTGCTGCTAATTGTGCAATTGCAGAATAATGAGTTCATGTTCGTTGCATCTAAGAATGAAGTGTTCTTTGTCAATTGCAATAGTTTTCATCATTGAGCTCTAAGTGTTCAACCCACTAGTCATTTTCATACAAGTCTTTCTGCCTAAGCCTTTAAATTTCCTCTGTGCTCTTTGTCCTGATCACTTGCTAACAGGAATGATTCCTTTATCTTCTGTTATTGTATGCTAACAGTCTAAATCACAGCTGAAATAGAAGTGCAAATAGTATGAAAAACCATCAGTTTCTTCAGCCTTCCTTCAACACTAGTGCATCTTTTTTCTTTCTTTGTCCTCGTAAAGATTGAGTTTGCCAGAAGTGGCCTTAACATGATTTGGATATGATATGCATTCAGATAAAAGGCTCATGGTTGCCGTAGGTGCCTTCTAAAGCAACCTTTACCTAAATATATACCGAGATGAAAGCATTCAGATAAAAGGCTCATGGTTGCCAGAAGTGGCCTTAACATGATTTGGATATGATATGCATTCAAATATATACCGAGATGAAAGCATTCAGATAAAAGGCTCATGGTTGCCATAGGTGCCTTCTAAAGCAACCTTTACCTACGTTTTGAATAATGGTTTAGTGACACTGGTTTGCTGTTTAAACATAATTCCAAAACTTAATGTTGGTTCTTCACTAGAATACTATCTAAAGGGAAAATCCAAAAATGTTTTACCTTGGAATAAGATATCAAAAGGAAATATAACAGGTTTTTTTTCTTTTTTTGTTTAAGAAGAAAATGTTATAATTAATCATTTATCTAGTCGTATAGATATCAAAACATTAGCTTCCATCTATTGAACTCAACTTTGTTGTATCTCATAATTTTGGTGTATCTGTTTTGCAGCACAAATGATGCTGTCTTGGAAGAGATGAAGCGAGAATACAAGCTTCAACAAGATGTCAAGGGTCCTTTGAGAGCCTAACTGATTCCCGGTGATGAGCCCAAAACCAAATGAGCATTTGAAAGTGAAAAATTTCTAGCAACAACTTCATATATCGGATAATGTTTTCATGAAGCAGTTGGTTTGAACTTTGAACCATTTCAATAACATATATTTAATCAAACCTTTAAGCTATTGGTCTTCTATGATGTACGTACATGGGATTGAAGTCAGCATGAGCTAGCAAGGTTTTGATATTGTTGTCACTGATACATACAATGTACGTTTCAGTGCAGGATAATCTTGAGCTAGCTAGGTTTTGATATTATATCAGGAAACAAAAGGAAAGAAAGAGTAGAGGAAATTAATTTGAATGAAATATATATATGTCCATGTGCTATATTTGCTTGGATGTCTACAAAAATCAAGAAGAATGATTGCTGCAAGGATTTGGCTACCCTATAACATACATGGATTGACGACATTACAACACTATCATGTATAAATAATCATGCATGGTGTGTGTGTCTATATATATATTGTGTGTGTGTGCAAGGGTGAAATGCCACAAACATGCTTGACATGTGAAGTTGACTATTAATTGGTCTCTATTTTTTATATTTTTGATCGGTTGAGCTGGTAATTTTAAATATATGAATATAAAGTTATATACTTTCAAATTGAGGAAGGATAGGGTTAAATAAAAGGTATGTATTATCTCTATCAACTTCAAGTAGTATTGGGTGATGATATTATAATTACTTGATTGAGACCTTGAAAGTAAACAACTCAGTTAGTTTTAATAGTTTTGGCTAATTGAGTTGATGATTTAAAATGCATGAATATGGATATACAAACTTTTAAATTAACCAAAGTTGAATTTAAATGAAAGATATATATCTTTTTTATCATTTTCAAGTGGTTTTGGACGACAATGATATTAGAGATCTTGAAAATAGACAACTCAATTAGCTTTGACAATGCGCTAATTGTGCAAAAATTAACTTATTTTTTTGTGTGATTACTCATAAAGCTTTTTCATTGAGTTCTTATCAAAGATTTATAATTCTTCCGTCAAGATCAAGAGATTAGAAATGGATTCAAAATCTTTTAAAATCCTAGCAAAACCTTATAAATATTCATTCAAGCTAAGATAAAAAGTAGTTATTTTATATATGATTTTCTAATCCAATAGTAAATTGCTTTTTTTGTTTTATATTTATGTTTATAAATATAGAAAAATGATTTGAATACTCAACAAATAATATTGTATTTATCTCTTTGTTGTTGTGATTTTCATTTAATAAAGTTATTTTGAAGTGTTTTTTTTTTAAATGCTTTTGATATAATAAAGTTGTTTAATATTTGTTGTTTTATCCATAGATTGTTAAGCTTGTTCGTGAACAAAATGGGTTCATAGATTGTTAAGCCTGTTCGTGAACAAAATGGGTTCATAAAACTAATTTTGAATCTATGTTATATGATATCTCATGCTTGATTTTAATGTTTTGATGTTTTTTATTAGTTTTTAAATTTAAATATATTTATGTATGATATTGTGAGTTGTTGAGATAAAAAAAAAATATTTTTGAGTAAAACAAATGTCTATTTATAAGCTTTCCAATGGCTTCCTTATGACTATATTTTTTTATAGGTTTTCAAGTTCTTTGTGTTCTTAAAAAAAGTATTGACCTAAACTCTTGACTTGGATAAATTTTGGTTTATTTCTTTGCACATAACCTTTTATTATGCATGATTATTGGATAATCTATGGTTTAATGTCATCAATAGCACATTTTCATGGTTTTTAATCAAAATTTATTTTGATAAAATCGTGATGTTTAAGTGAAAATCAAAGTGATTGGATGTTAGATCATTAATTTTTGCATGATTTCCAACATGCATGTACCTTTCATTTTGACCAATTTTGGTCTAATTTGGAACTCAAATTGCTAGGTTCATATTTGGTGTTTTTCGTGCATTTTTTTTTGTGTTTGATCCATTTTATTAAATAATTTGAGTTTTTTTTACGTGTTTAATTTTTTTGTTACCTTGGTTTTTATTTTGGGCTATTTTTTAGACAAACAAAAAAATTCTAAGTCAATTTGGTCAGGTTAACACAATAAAAAAAATAAGGGTCAAAGGGTTTTAATTTTAATACCATGTTTGCAATGTTTTGCTAAGAGTTTTTATTTAAGAATGTGTTTAGCAAATACCCTTTTGGCCTATTTTGACTAGTTTTATTACAATAATTTTTTTTTTTCAAATAAAGCCTAAAAAATAATAAAAATAATTTTTTTTCAAATAAAGCCTAAAAAATAATAAAAAAAGTATTATTTTTTTCCCTTGCAAATGGCCAAAAAAAATCCTAAATTTATTTGAGTATCTTTTTTCAAAGAAAATTTAAAATATTTTTTTGCATGTGTTTAAACAATAGAATGGATTTTACAATAAGTTTGTAAAATTCTAAAGATTTGGATGATATTTAGATAATATTAAAAAGTTATTTTTGACAAGAAAATATAAGGACAAAAAACTTAAAAGGAATTAATATCTAAAATATTATTATAGATAATAAATATCATTAATATAAGGATAAAAAAACCTAAAAGATGTTAATATCCAAAATATTATTATAAATAATACAACTCATTCACTGTCAATATAAAGATAAAATATGCAAAGAATTTCATCTAAAATATTATTAAAAATGACACGATATAAAAAAAATTTAATTTTACGTGGAAAAAAACTTCAAAGATAATTAACAATATTTCACTTTTCTAGATTGAGTTCTTGACCTAAAAAAATAGGATTTGTTCCTTATAATAAACCTGTCAGTAGAAATATTATTAGGGATAATAAACATTATTCACTTTTAATATAATAATAAAAAAACCTAAAAGAAGTTAATATCTAAAATATTATTATAGTCAATATAAAGATAAAATATGCAAAGAATTTCATCTAAAATATTATTAAAAATGACACGATATAAAAAAAATTTAATTTTACGTGGAAAAAAACTTCAAAGATAATTAACAATATTTCACTTTTCTAGATTGAGTTCTTGACCTAAAAAAATAGGATTTGTTCCTTATAATAAACCTGTCAGTAGAAATATTATTAGGGATATAGTAAGTTAGTAGAAATATTATTAGGGATAATAAACATTATTCACTTTTAATATAATAATAAAAAAACCTAAAAGAAGTTAATATCTAAAATATTATTATGAATAATACAACTCATTTACTTTTAATATAAGGATAAAATATGCAAGGAATTTCATCTGAAATATATTTAGAATGACACGATATAATTTTTTTTTTTAATTTTACCTTGAAAGAAACTTTAATGATAATTAACAATATTTCACCTTCTCAGACCAAATTCTTGACTTATAAAATTAGAGTTTGTTCATTATAGCAAAACCTATCATAGTAGATCAAATATGCAAGGAATTTCATCTAAAATATATTTAGAATGAAACGATATAATTTTTTTTTTAATTTTACCTTGAAAGAAATTTCAATGATAATTAACAATATTTCACCTTTTCAGATCGAATTCTTGACCTATAAAATTAGAGTTTGTTCATTATAGCAAACCTATCATAGTAGATCAGTAGAAATATTATTAGGGATAATGCATATCATTTACTTTTAATATAAAGATAAAAAACCTTAAAGAGTATATCCAAAATATTATTACAACTCAATTACTTTTAATATAATGATAAAATATACAAGAAATTTCATCTAAAATATTATTTAGAATGACACGATATTAAAAAAATTTAATTTTACTTTGAAAGGAACTTCAATGATAATTAACAATATTTCATCTTCCCAGATCGAGTTCTTAACCTAGAAAATTAGGGTTTGTTCATTATAGCAAACTTGTCATAATAGGCTAGTAGAAATAGATATTATCAGACCATAACAAACAATAAAAAAAGAATATAGCTTACCTTAGACAAAACATACTAGAAGTATTAATATATTTTCTTTACATAACCAGTTTCTTATCTAAAATTTATGGGGAGAAACTATTTAAGGTTTCATAACTATAATGTTAGGTCACTATGATGTCGTCCTCTCACGATAAAGGTATGACACAATAGTTGTTTCTTAAACTTCCTTTCTAGAATTGAACCATAATTCTCTATCACCCATCACTATTATGATAGGTTTCTATCCTAACATCAAAAGTTGATAAAATAGAAATTTAAATGTATTGTCAGGTATAATGATTGTGCAATCCGTCGAGTTATCATGAATTATCAAAGCAATAAACACAACTAGAATCAAGTTATTTTTGTCCAGGATTTATTCAACATATCAACTTTAAAATTACTATAGTTATCCGAATAATAAATATCATTAAATATACTATAACAAATTTAACGAATCATTTATAATTTCTTAGTTTAAATTAGTTTCATACTTAGATGACTTAAATCTTTGAGATAATTGACAAATCAACCAGGTAGCATTTACTGGGGACATCACTACTCACATGATTTCCAATGTTGATAAGATAAGGTTAAGACGGGCTTAGAGTCGTTTTTATTAAGCACGACTAGAACACACGAGCATCACTGTTAGGTTTTCCTCGCATCCAGGGAGGCGTATGGTGAAGAGATACAACTTCACAGTGGAATTCTACCGAAGTGAGTATGCAAAACAGAACCCCGACTCACCCACCACAAGGCAGGGCTTTAGCAGGAGGCCGCCACCAGTTCAATGCACTGGTTCAGAGCCAGCTTGCCGACGTGTGTGAAAGGTAGGGGATGCCACCACAAGGCAGGGCTTTAGCAGGAGGCCGCCGCCTTGCCGACGTGTGTGAAAGGTAGGGGATGCAGATAAAACATGCAGTTTACTTTTAAAGGTACTTGTACAAAATAATTACCCCCATTATTGATGGTTGCATGTTAACGTATAAAACAAGATGTTCAAGTCAAGCCCTAGAATACACGTGTTTTAAAACTGTTTTGCATACCCTCTTGATATTGTTGCATGTTTTTGTGACTCATGAAAGGGAAAAGGAAAATTGGGTTCCTGAGACCTTACTCAAGGGTCAAGCTCACGGATGTCAGGGCCGAAAGCAAAAGTCAAGCCCAAACCACTAGCATTGTAGGTGAGCCCACACCATAAACAGTCTCAAGGGGCATTGTGGGTGAACCACTTCAGGATGGTGGGTCCCCAAGTGCCTCCAAAGAGGTTGGCTTGGGGGGTTCGAGACTGTTTGGGTTGTGCCCATCAGTGCCAAATAGTAACAGTCATTTCTCTCAATTACCATTATAATTATATGACCACCGAAGCATTGCTCGACTGACCGTAAAAGAAAGTATAATATTTAAAAGAAAAGCATTGAATGGGCATGGTTTGATGCATGCCGACCACTTGAACAATTTTTTTTTATCTTATATGATCTAAACCATTAAAATTTAAATTAATTATGAAATTTGAAACAACATGAGAGGATGCAAACACAAAAAAAGATCCGGAAACCTTGATAAAAGCAATATCAATTCAAATTAGCAGGTAACGAAGATAAACACAAGTGAAAGTCTGTCATATATAAGAATATCAGTGATCCGGAAACCTTTCATGAGTCACAAAAACATGCAACTATGTGACTGTTCTATCATATCATAAGACTGGCAACACAACACATGCTAAAAAATGAAACTGAATTGAAGAAACATTGATAAAAGCAATATCAATTCAAATTAGCAGGTAAAGAAGATAAACACAAGTTTGTCATATACAAGAGTATCAATGATCCGGAAACCTTTCATGAGTCACAACAACATGCAACCATGTGACTGTTCTATCATCATAAGACTAGCAACACAACACATGCTAAAAAACGGACAATGGCCTACAGCATATCACCAGAGAGAAATTTCCTTTCCAATTCAACTCAAAAGGCTAAGGAATTGACCAAATATAGATGCAGAAATACCTATTGGAATGAGCACTGAAAAGTGAGAAATCAATGCTTTGGCAACTATGGGGTTTCTATCAACTTGAAGTTGATGCAGTTATCATCATGGTCCTTCCACCAGTCCATATATTGTTTTGGTGAGATTGGCGTTCTGATAGGAGATGAAGAATCAAGTTTGTTTTCACAAGACTTATCTTCATGGAGCTGCTCTGTCATCGCTTCCAATTGCAAGGGCCTTGGGGGACTCTGAGCATTAAATAGAAACCAGTATTTTATTTAGACAATCCATATAAACAAGAGATTAGTTTTTGAAACAAGAAAGAACCCAAATGAAACAATGTGTAAGAGGGGAAATAAGCAAACTGACCTTCATTGTAATTGTTGGCGGTGAACATGAAACACCCAACTTCTTGGAGAAACCTAGGCAAAGAAATAAAATGTGAATTGAACTTCACAAGAAAAGAGTGTTTAGTGATAATAAGCAGAACAATATTAAGTTTACATTACCATCGTTTAGTCCAATTGATTGCAGAAACTCATCAATGTCCATAGCTCTTGTTTGTGCTTTGATGCACTCCTCATGATTGTGCAGAAACTTTTCCTCAGCAATTTCACTGTTTCGATCTGGTTCTTCTGTCAGAACACTTAGCGTTGCATTGGAACTCTTCTTTTTAGTCTCAGGCTTCCTCGAATTAGAAATGTCTGACAGTGGTTTTCTACCAGCATTCTGCACTTTTCCTGATGCTTTTAAGATACTTTTCGTCTTGCTTGCATCACGTGGAATTCGAGGGGCATCAGTCTTAATTGAATTTGACAAATCACCGAGAGGTTTCCGTCTACTCACTAGTGATGCCATTGGTGCTGTGAATGAGTTCAAAGGAATATTCTGCAAAATCATTGGAACTGATTAATAACCTAGATAAACCATGCAAAATAAGGAAAAATGACTGATTTATACCATAAATTAATTTTCAAAATGTAACTAAAAGGAATTATTCCCAAAAGCACAACCCCTCCACCAAGCAAGACATGAAAAATCAGATAAACCCTAAGACAGTTACATAACTTTTTCTGTGATCTCTATAGCTCTACCATACACTACTTTCCAATAAAATGGACGAATTCGTGAAACAAATTTAATATCAGGTAAAATGGCAGTGATGACAAATTAAACTATTTTTTAATCTTCTATCGAACACAATAACATGGAATTGGAGACCACCACCCCTCTTACATTAATCTCTTGTTTAACACTAGAACTATTCAAAAATTCAAAGCACTTGAGATATGGAAGTACATTGTATCATAAAAAATCTAGCAACAATAGTGAGCATTAACACGAGCGAAACTGAAAATTGAGTGTGAAAGCAAGAAACAAGATAGATTTTCTAGAATCTAAACACAAGAGGCAAATCGTTCAACAAAGGGAAATAACAAATTAATCACAGATATATATGATAGTAATACTCAATAGAATATACAAGACCCATCAAATTAAAAGATTCATTAATTGCCTTTCAGTTGCCTCCTCATGTTTAAATTAAACTACAGAGATTATTTTTCATTTGGAATTAATTGCAACAAGCAATAACCCTAAACCAAACTACTAGAGTTTTAAACAACAGCAGCAAAATCAATTTTTAAAAAAATCGCATTTATTTATGATTCAACCAAAGATCAATCACAAACACATTACAATCGCACGGAAAGGGAGAGAGTTCGTTTGCTGAGAAAAACAGATGACATTTACTTCTAAGAAAACAAAATCGATTAGGGTTTGCCAAAAGTAAATTTAACCAGAAATACAAGAAAACGAAATCAATTTCAAGAATTTAAAACGTAATCCCAAGAATTAATGATAAATTGAAGTTGGATTTGAGAAAGTTACCTGGTGGAGGTGATCGATTATAGGCTGCTTGACAATTGATTCTCTTACTTTTTAAGGCGCAGAGAAATTTTCTTTGAGAGAAGGGAGAGAGGACCGTTGTTTTTATAGGGAGAGGGTTCTTAAATTTCGAATAAAAATATGACCGTTGGAAAGACAGGTCTGATTACAGCTGCGTCCTGTTAAACGTCAGCGTTTTGAGTGGATTAAATTAAAGTCACAACGGTAACCCTTTTGTTTTGCAGGAATTAATCTTTGGCAATAAATTAGATGATACTTAGGGAAATAATTAATTGTATTAATTCTAGTTGTAAGGAAATTATCAGGTTATTAAAAAAAAAATATGAACCAAATTTCTCATGGTAATCTTGTTGTTGTAATTTATTTCTTGTAATTTCTTTCACAATATCAACAAACAACAACTTCCACTATATATACTGATTCCAATTCTTTTACACAGATTAATCAAAACAATTACCCCAAAAGAATAATCTAAGGAGTAGGGTGAATATCAATTGGTTTTGTTCAATAAAAATCCAACCAAATAGATTTTCTTAAGATCTTATATCAAACAGAATAATTGATTTAAATTGAACTACTTCTTCATTCGATTATAATTTTAAAATCCAAATTAATTCATGACTCTTTATCAATTTTTTTATTTACAAGATTTTGATTTAATTCACATTATGTTTTATATTTCAGTTTCTCATATCTAAAACATAAATCAAACAAAAAAAAATTAAAAAAAAATACTTTCAAATTGATTTTTTTTATTTGATATCTCAAATCAATTAGATTTATATTGGTTTTTTCAATAAATTAGATTATTTGGTTATTTTGCTCAACCCTTATAAAGTGGGGATTATTACTATTTTTTCGTTAATCCAATTCATATACGTGAAGAGGCCAAAAAGGCGAAAGAAATTTTTACTTTCATCATCGTGCTAAACCACACATTTAAGAAGCTCATTACGGTCCTACATCCAACAACAGCACTATTGTGCTTTAGCTTCACCTTTGGACCTAACCAACGCTCCCTTAACCATTACACCTAGCCAAAAAGCAACGAAGACCGCACACTGCCAAAAGGAGCATGACAGGCCATGCAGCTCAGAAAGACTGGAAACCCAAGAACATCCAAATGCCCTAGATTCAAGGGAGAATGTCAAGCCGAGCAGCTCAGAAATTTTGGAGCCACGAGAACTTAGAAAGGCCCTCGAAATACATGATACCGTCCCTCACCGCTTGAGGGCAATTGCACAAGAAGGATACCAAATGGACTACATTGTACACAGACCTTTCAAAACGCAATTTCTGGTCAGGGGCTATAAAAAATGGCCCCCAAACACAGTACATCAGGGAAAGAGACAAGGCTTGCTAAAATGGATGTAAACAGACGAGAAACCAAGTGATAGTTCATTCTAAATCAAAATTCCATGAGACAAGGCGATCCCCCTCTATCACAATCCTACAAACACAACCATCCTCCATTACATAAAAGCACAAGATTTTGTTACACATCCAGGCAGCACTGCATCCTCAAGACGCAAAAAAGAAAATATGCTGGAGCATCACTGACTAAGTTGGCTTCCTCATGTTCCGCCCAGCCCTGATCACTTCATCCACCAGCAGCAATTGGGATGCGATAACAGGCCTGGAAAATTACAGTAGCATAAGAATAGCTAAGTTAGATGAATTAAAAGCTCAAAGCTTAAGAACTTCAAGGGGTTCCTTATTGTTTAATCATTCATGCAGTCCATAAGCTACAAGCCAGTACAGGAGCTAAATAAGCATGCTGAAGAAACTAGAACATAAGAAAAAATGTACCAAGGAAAGAGAGATGGGGAGAAATAGAGAACAAAAAAGTTTGGAGTTCCTGAGTACCCTGAGTTTATGAGTTGGCGCTTGACAGAGTAGTTGTCGAAGATACCCTCCATTTGAGGATCAAGAGGCCCTCCTGTTTGGAGATTTATTCCAACAATGTTATCCCTGTCATGCTCTCCCTGAATAAACAGGCAAGAAAATATCGAATCAGTTCTCTTTTCTTGTCTTTTGCCTCCAAAATACAAGGGATGATGCATGGGTCCCAGCAATAGTTACCGTGAGAGTGACAATCTCATCTTGAGTGTCTAGCCCAGAATTCTCAGCCAGTGTTTTGGGCACCACGAGAAGGGCATCAGCAAAAGCTTCAACACCTAGCTGAGCACGCTGTTCCAAATTTGCAAACACTAGTTTAAAATTAACCAGGAGATGGGAATAATTACTCAAACACAGAAAACAGGCAGACATTTACCCCTTTAACTGTTTTCTTGACTTCATTGATTAGATATTTCCTGGCTGCAAATTCAAAAGCTCCTGCTCCCTGAAGAAAACAAGCGAGACTATCTGAGTGGGAAAGAAACATAACTTGCTCATACATGATTTAACTTCCAAAGCCACCAACAAAGAGGGCAACTAGGCTTTTATATAAATCAATATATGACAAACTTTAGTTTCATAGATTTCTTAAAGCAGAACTTACAAGCACAACAGCTTCATCTTCAATGGTGTTTTTTACAGCTCTCAAGCCATCACGGACAGCATCCTTTATTTGGGCAATTGTATGGTCATTGGGTCCTGTAACATTAAAGAAGTCAAGTGACAATTGATCCCCGCTGAATAGCTCAATTGCAAGGATTATACACATCATATAAGAGAAAAACTTGCACATAAGCTAAATCCTCCAGCCTGATGGCTAAATGGTCTAATAGAAGCAATTAAAACAAACAAAAGAAAAATCCTTCAGATGGTTTAAAGACCAACTGATAGCAAAACAAATAAAAATGAAAATCATACACAATTACACAACGTACCTTTTATTAAGATAGTGCAGGAATGGGGGTTCTTTACATTTTCAACAAATGTATACTTCTCTTCACCAAGGACATGCTCATACACCAGTCCAGCCCAACCGAGGCAGTCAGGAGTCAAACTATCAACAGAATTCACAGCCTCTCCTCCACAAGCCAAAACCAGGCGTTCCATATTTCTCCTCTTTGCTCTTCGCAGGGCAATTACCTACAGAACATGAAATTAGATCAATCACATTCAAAATAGCAACAACAGGGCAAGCAGGTAGACCAACCACTTTTCAAACTGGCAAAAGTCATCTTGCATTTATCAGTAGGTACCATGAGGAAAGGAATCCAATCCAAGGCAAAGCATTCAACAAGCCAAGTCTTGTTTGTAACGATTTAAAACTGGAGCCACATACAGGTGGTAGGTTTTCTACCATTTTCAAAATCTCAACTATAACGAAAAACCATTTCAAGTCTCCATTCCCACATCCAAAATTTCATGAAATCAATAGAATTACAGAAGCATCAAATGGTCTCTAGAATCCGCTCTTCCATAATGAAAAAAGAAAAAAAAATAAACTCCTTTGAATATTGTATCTTCATCAACTTAAGCACATTGCTTGTTTTCTTTTAATGATTACTTCATTCAGCATGCAACATGATTTCACAACAATAAAAAAGAAAATGAGGCTGTAAGGCTCCAAAATGTGCAACCAAGCTGATTACAACTTTCAGAATCCGTTTGACATAATGTTATCTTCTTAAAACTTCTCTGTAGAATTAAAGATTACATAGAAACACAAACCCAACCACCATGCTCCCAAGTAAAAACACTTTTCGTTCTTTTCCCAAGTTTAATAGAGGCAACCTCTTGGAGGGCAACTCTATTTTCCTCAACAATCCACCCTTTCATAATATTTCCAACAAAGAAAATTGATCTCCATTGTAATATTTAACCCCTATTCGTGCAATACACCCTAAGACAACCAAAAGGAAACGCCCGGCACTAACACATAAAGCATGATATGCAGAAAACAGATGTGAATTCATGAATATTAAGTAGCTATTTATTGTTAGCATTGGATCACTAAAGAACAGAACATAATTGTTCCATGACTTACCCCTGCTCGTGCAAGAAGGTCCAATGATGGAGGATCAATTCCCTTTTGATTAATAACCACAAAATTGTTGTCTGTACCAGAACAAACCTGGAAGACCAAAAGTATAAAAAACATTTCAGAAAACCCAACCCAACATGTATGACAGATACAGTAACATGAACATTAAATGTATTAAAATGTGTCACTTAACCTTATCTTTTAGTTCAATAATTTTTTTAACTCTTTCATCAACCTGACGCCTTTCAGCAGCAACCATCGTCTCCCTCTGCTCTGCATTTGAGTAGAAAAATCCTGCATTTATTTCACTGTGGAGAAAAATATTAGCTTCCAAAAAACTGAAACTGACCACAGCTGCATCTACAGAGTACTTGATATCTCATATTTAGCATCAATTCCAATTAAATTCAAGTTGACAAGAAGAATACCTTTTCTCATATTCCAAAGACACATTGCATGTCAAGATAAAACAGTTCTCTGCCCGCCGTTTCATATCAGGATGCCTAGAACCATGGTCAAGAACAAGACCTTCAACCTGGAAAGCAGAACAAGTAAATAGAGGGTCCAAAACTTTTGACAAGAGAAGAATATTTATCTACAAAAAATCAAAATTATATCAAAGAAGATAAAGGATGAACAAGAACTAAAAGTTGTCCAAGCTATGAACTTGGGAACTTTTGAATTTAAACCAATCATCAATTTCTTGGAAAGTTCACCTAATCCAAAGTACCAGCATTGAGAAATAATTTTGACATGAAGCATTATTCTACTAAATAAAGGTTGAATGATGGAAAATGGCAGTGATTCCACCTACTGCCTCCCATTCAAGATCAATGATTCCATTTCAAATGGAAGGGTTCTTGGAGATCTTAGATTCCTCATTCTTAGTCAGGATGTCAGGAGTTACAAGTCAATTTTAACACATCCCACCTGAAAAATATACCATGGTAATCCAGATTAAATGAAAAGGGATTAACTTACAAGCCGCGTGTCAACATCAAATTTATGACGCATGTGCATAATCTCCACCATAAATAGATCAATGCCTTCCTCGGGCTTTCGAATACAAAGCACCTGCATAATGCACAATACAGTTAATGCAAAAATAGAAGTCTTCAATGTTGTACTTAAACATCTTTTCTAGCA